TATCTCAGCATTGATTCATCGCTTTCAAGCTGATTAAGAATTAACAGTTTCAGAAACGTAAGTGGTCATATATCGTCTATGAAATCATAAACATATATATAGCGACAAGCATAGTGTAGACAACAAAGCGGACTGTCTTACAGTATTATTTTGTAACGCATTACTCCATTGTTGCATCTCCTGATCTCTACTTCGATGTCCTTTAAGAGTGAGAGTAGTGAGTGTCTGTATGAAATAAGACAAACTAATATATACTAACTATATGGCGAAAATGTATCGCATTTCAATATATTGTATATTATGTCGCAAATTACGAATATGCGACACATTTTCTCTTTAACTGTGAATAAGTACATGCGAAGAATCTGAGAGTAAAAATGACGTCATCGAATTGTTTGTATACACTTTGCAGAAATTAGTACCTTATTAAAATGAACATTATTCCTTAGACGATATATGACCACTTACGTTTCTGAAACTGTTAATTCTTAATCAGCTTGAAAGCGATGAATCAATGCTGAGATATAGAACTCAAAGTATCAGTTTCAATGGAAGATTACCTTATATGGATGATAGGTGTATGTTATTGTATTGAGTTGTGTGCACACATTACGAAGTGAAAAAAGAATTGCCAAAACATCGAGATTGTCAAGAATACGATAGATAAGTTCAACGGGTAATGTAAGAAGAGATCGAGTAATGTTGGCAGTCATCGATGTTGTTCGCAATTTAAGATGGATATCTCGGTTAAAAATAAGTTTAACTGGAGCGCGTGCGCGTTTTGTGAGGTTATTTCTTACTATTTACATATGGTTGTGCAATTTCTTCCTTGGACGAAGAACAACAAAAGTGACGTCATTAACAGTAATGGATATATTCATCATCAATATATAACATTTCGTGCTTTTACTATAATCTTAAGAGAACGCCCATGAGTTTGACACGTAAGAGTTTTGGAACCATTGTCGAAAGTTTTCTCGCTCTATAAGACAGCGAAAGGCTACCAGAATCTATTTGATTTATTTAAACCACCGGATTTATCTAAATTAGCTATTGATAGTATATAAGACATTTAAACCGCACCAAAAGAGAAATATAATTCTGAATAATGTGCCCTTATCCACAGTTAGGCATCTGTCCCTTAGTATGGTTTCTTCCGTTTGATGACAAATGTGTAACAGAATTTGTAGGGTGTGGGTGTGTGGATGGGTGTGAGTGTTAGTGGAGACAAGATCGAAACCTACTCACACCCACACTCTGGCTATAACAAAAAAACAAAGATCCGTTTCAATCTCACTCTGAATTAGATCGTTTTTCATGCTCACTTAGCTCTGACGTCGAATATGTCCATTTCGAGGATCTACCTCACTTTGCTATGGTGTGGATGAGGATATGAGTATCCATTCTTCCATCAATCACACCCCAAACCCACACACGCCCATGTTCATACCGATATTGACAAATATAGGTTTTCAGATATCAGTATTTTACAATCATGAATATATATTTATGAGCAAAAACTATTTGGAAACGTTTACTTTAAAAAAAACACAAGTATTATGACATCCAAATGAGTATTTGACGTATATTATTGTTAAAAACAGCTTCAAATTGTTGCTCACAAAGAATGGTATGATGTTGTAACCATTGTTTTGTATCTGTTTTTAATTTTTCAAAAAAATCTCCACTAATACCTAAGCCAATTAGTCTATGTTCTTTGAATTCTTTCAGCAAACATATTACCATTGATTCACTTGAACATGGTGATACGACTTCATGCTTTTGTTGACATGCATGGACGGGTAAGCTTTCTACTGTAGAATCTTCAATAATATTATCATTGGGAATTGCTATGGGGCTGTGTGGTAAATGTATTAAATTGGCATATAAAAGATGAACTCGAAAGAATGTAGAAGCAATGATAGGTACGTGTTCTTCATTGAATGTTACTGATGACTGATTCGTTGCATTTCCGAGAATGAAAAGTGAAGTAATACGTTGTCCAAGAACATGACGAATTTGTTGATCCTCGATTAACTGCCATAAGAACTCAAAAGGTAAGTCCAAGCGAACAAGATTAGATGCAGCATTAAGAACAAATGAAAAATGGTTCAGATCAGAAGGTATTGATCCATAAAAGCGTACTTTAAGGAGTCGAGATAATTTTGGAATATGCGGTAGCGGACATTGTTCTTCTGAAAATAATTATATAACATTGCAACAAAAATATTTGAATCTCAATCTGAGAACGGATCTCGATTTATAATAATATAAAGGAAACTGAAAGACATTAATTTTTCTATTCCGTTGCATTGTCTTCGTATTAATACAATGAATATGACTTTCTAGAAAACTTCATATCATTAATTTGATCATCTTTTTTTTTGTTAAAATATTAGATATGAATTTTTGAAAATTGAAATATTCGTGAATGGATTTACATTAGCTTTACTATATTTTTATTTGCATTCAAATTATAATACATACAAAAATTTTTCAATGTTCGAAACTTTGTAGAACTGATTGAGGGTAACATATCTCATTTTCGATCTTTTTCAGTAATCAATGACGGTACAGCTGGTCAAGAGAACAAATTTTGAAGTGTAGTTTTTATTTATTTGGATAGCATGAACTTCGTCGTACTGACTTTCGCACTTGACTTTCGACAATTGCGAAAAGTTGTGTTTTTATAAAAGTTTTGGCTGTAAACAGGGGGGATCTTTGGCAATAGCCAATAGTTCAGTTTCGGAAACTATCGGAGATCTTAATAAAAATATTATTCAACTAATTAATTACAGTAAAGAAACCACACTTTGAGCATTGTGCGATTTCAAGTTTCCGGAAGTCCTTAAACAATATTAGTAGACCTTATGAGTGATGATATCGTCTAATAACACATACAGTTTGAATTGATCATGGAAGAGGTGTGTGAGAGAATGTATCAAGATGCTAAGTACGCTTTTATAAGAATTCGGGATCATCTATCGCTCAAAGTTCACTAAAATAATTGACAAAAGTATAGTTTCTTTACAATAATTAATTAGTTGACTAATATTTTTTAACAAGACATCTGATAATTACCAAAAGTGAACTATTGGCTATTGCCAAAGGTCCCCCTGTTTACAGTCGAAAGTCCTACAAAAACACAACTTTCGCCATTGCCGAAAGTCAAGTGCGAAAGTCAGTACGACGAAATTCGCGTTTCCCATTTATTTGCTGGGAAATCCTGGTTTTTCATAGGACTTCATCGTCGTAGATTACGACCTTCATCGAACTGTGTCCGATTCAACTGAATACTTCTTCTTCTTTCTTATGAGAGCAATACATAAGAGTTCAGAGTGAAAACCAGAGCGTAGAATTTCTGAAACTTACAAATTATGATAAAAAAGTCAGAAACAAAAGCGCTAGATTTTACTTCTGAAGGATATTTCTAAGTTTATATGAGAAAAATTTCAGTCTAGCTGGACAAGATTAGATATAAGCTATAAGCATCCTGGATTAAGAAGGCCCGTGTATTACGCTATGCTAAGTAAAAGAAGTGGGTTTTGAGGCATTACAGTCTTTAACTACGAAAAATTCTGTTTTTCCTAGTCACTTTTGGATTTTCTCAGCACAAATTTACTAATTCAAATAATGATCTTGCATTCTATTAGTCTTATATTATCCGTATAAGTTCAGCAGATTTTCACAGTCAGTATCATACATTCTCGAAATTTTTGTTCAGTATACATACCTTTCGTCACATCGCCAGTATTTTCAACTATAATAATAATTTGTGACACTTGCCGACATTGCGATATTATTCCTAAAGCTTTGGTTAAAGTGAAATTTCTATTGATCATAAGGTAGAGTTGTTGAACATTACTGTCATAGCCATTTACATTATTCGTTGCGCATGACATCTTCTTATTTATTAAACCTAGAAAATCAATACGAGCAAAATGCCATGGTAGAGTATGAAGAAATAATAATGTGTTTTCGTAGAAGCACGCAACTGGATGAGACAGTGGCCAAGAGATAATAATGTCATCAATTTGATCAACAACCATATGATGCATGAAGAAAACAGCGTAGTGAAAAAGCTGAATAGTAGAAGGAAGTGAAGAAAGGATTGTATTACCTTCGATAAGGCGTCTATCAGCCGTAGAAAGATATAGTGATAGATATTTTACTATTGGTAACTGAGCGAACAATACAAGCAATTCTTCAAGCGTCCACGATTGCATAGTGGATCTGAGTTCAAAATAGGTAAGATGAAGAAGAGGAGGTACATTCAGGGTAAAAACATTTTCCAATGAATAATCGTTGTCATCAATTATGACGTCTAAATATTGAACATTTGGAAGGGCATGAAAGAGAGATGGTAAATCGGCGCTTGTTCTCAACTTGATACTTAGCCGAATAATATTCACGTAAGAATCATTCTGGTGAAAAGATAAAAACGTTGATTGATCATCGAGTAGTATTGTCGTGAGTCGATGATTATTTGCTTGAAACAATGATCGAACGACTGTTGATTGATTGGTTTCGGAAATATCAAAGAGACCATATAAACGAATCTCAACAAGATTATTTAAATCATGTAGACTATCAAGAAGAGCAATTAATTGATTGTCTTCATATGAAACAAGACTGATTCTTTCCAATTTAGGAAATGTTATTGACATTTTTTGACCAAAACATTTGATAAATAACTCATCTTGTAACACAGAATAACAACAATCAATTAGTAATGAACGAACCTGAGAACCAATTTGAGGAAGAATATTTATACATAAATAAGTACTTTTTGAAAGAGATGTTTTATGTAATGAAACATCTCGTCGATATTGAGTGATCATTTGTGTTATTCGATAGTTAAGTCCAGTAAAAGATATAAGAATATCAGTACATAATAAATATTTACAGAATTCTAATAGAATTTCATCTGGAAATGTTTCCAACGTTGATTTATTGCATGAAGTTGCCATCTAAAAAGAATGTTTACACCGGTCATTGACCAAATACGTATGACTTGTTTTTTTCTTAACCTTACGTTAATATTTATCAGTAAATGATATTTAACTCATTGATTATGGGCGAAGCGAATTCGCGTTCTCATATTTTGGGACCAGAATAACTTGGAAAAATACGATCTGTTAATTATTTAATGATATGAATTTCATGAGTATTTGCGTTTAGGATATTTTTATGTTTAAGATCATTTATTACGACTAATGATCATTGGTTGTCCCTTAATGTGCATGGGTCGATTTGGTAACATTTTTCGAGCAATAATCGTCGTTCTCAAAAAGATATTTCTTTTTATAAAAATTATTCAAGCATGACAGCTGTAAGAAAGATCCTGATCGAATGATCGCATTTGATGAATAATGTAGAGTGCATTTTTTCACGTACAAAGTCACAAATGTCATCAATCTTCAACTTATGTGTACTGTTTTCCTTTATCTTTCTGCTACCATAGAATGACTTCATGGTTTCTCTCTTTTGTTTTCTTTTTCTTATCCTCTGTATGACTGGCATATATATATTGCTAGTTTATTCTTATTATTAAAAACCAAAACATGACTTATCTCGACATATACTGTGTTTCTTTGACATCTATTATTCACGAAGTGAGGTTTGTTCAACCAGAAGTCTAACAAAAAAAAATATATTGTTGAACATTTATTGAATGTGATGTAGAGTTATGTCTTATGGATTATTTTAAAAGCTATCGCGCTCTAAAAGCATTTTGAATCATGTATTTTCATGATATTTTTTGCAAAATTAACGTTAATTTGAAATTATAAGAGCTTTTACTATATAAAAATAATCTCGTACTCGAAGAGTTAAAAACAGATGTACTTTTTGAAAGATCAATGCAGACAGTTCATTTTAGCAGTTGCATAAGTGTGATGTGATTTTGTATTAGAGATGAAAAGATATCCTACCCTACTATGGAATGTAGGAGGACGTGTAAAATGGTAAACTTCATTCTCACTCGAGGTACGAGCAAAGCTTACCCCACACTTCTCTATGTGATACTCCATTCGGGTTAGTCCTCTTCCCTTTCCTGATCTCGAAAATTCACGTTTCTCAATTTGATTGCTTATTTGTATCTAAAAAAGACATTCAACTGTCTTCTATGGAAGAGCATATGAACGAGAGGTTTTTACTATTATTTGAAGCCTTAAATAGTCCAACTTTAGAGATTCCTATAAGAAAGTCAGGCTCTACACACCTTTTCCATGTAGTACAACGATATGCACACATATAGTTATTTTATCATGAGAATGTATTCTGTGTGTCAGTGATGTATTCTCATAGCCGTTTCGCAAATGCATTAATTAATAGTTAGACATGAAAAACTAAACACTGCAGAATATTGAGAAAACGATATTTTACGCTGTTTCCCATCTTTCTCAAGATCGATTTTTGTAGAGAAAAAAATACAGGTTTTTCTCCATTTCCTTCCAAACAGTTCTATCAATTAAACTGAAATTTTTGGAGACAACTAGAAATAAATGCAGCTGTGTATTTTTTTCGTAAAAATAGTATTTTAGTTTCTGGTAGATCTTTCACAATTCGCCCTAAGTGAAAAAATACGTTTTCTGACTAGAATTCCAGTATCTTGTTTCTCTTAATTAATGTTCGAGATTAAAGATCACACTAGTAGGCAGCTAACAGAAACCGAAAGTTAATCCGATTGAACCCAACTAATTTTCGAATACCAAGTGAATCTAGAGAAACACACAAGAAGAATGATTGACTGAACTATTATTCTGTTTGTAAAATTGTGATCATATGGGAGATTATCAAACGACGTCTGATCGATTGTTTTACATCAAGTACTAGGGATGATCATTTTACGTACACAAACAATTATTAAATGCAGAAAAAAATTCTAAAAGACTTACATTTAAAAGAAATTGAATTTTATTTCACTTTAAAATTTGAGTTTAGTTTAGATTTAAATCGAATTTACATAGATTTAAAATAGTTTAAATTGCATCTAAATATGTTTAAAGTATTTTAAATTCTATTTTAATTAATTTAAGTTAAACTTAAATCTGTATGGTTGTCTCTAGAGGGATAAAAGGAATTTTGTATCCCTCAAATCTGATATAAAAGACATATCTATAATTTGTTTCGGGTCATTAGACAATAACAGGAGCAGACCATAGCCGCTTTTTTGACGCAATTTTCTATTGTAAGCATAGAATTTTAACGTATAATACCAGTTTCTCTCTTTATTTCCGATCTGTTTTTTTGTTCTAAATCAGGTATTTTGACGATTGCGTTTATCAATTTAAGTTTAGAAAAATTCGATAATTCCAGAAATAAATTCTAAAAAATTTTAATGTAAAGTAAACTTAAATTTACTTTAACTTCAAAATGGCAATAATTTAAAGTTAAAATAAATTAACAGGAAAATGCCATCCCTATCAGTAACCGGAAATGAACCTATCTGAACATGAATCAGTAAAACTCAGTTCGATTCGGTCTCTTTTATTTAACTCGTTCATTTAAATTCATGTACACAATCTTTACATTCTGAGTAGAGTGTGACTTTTGAATTAAGAAACGAGTGCTCGCTATTAAATTTTGTTCTGAGAATTTTTACAGCCGATGATTGTTTCAAGCAATATCATAGCACAGGCTCTACTCAACAGACGAAATTATGATTAAACCAAAAGTATATGAAGTTTGAATAAAATACTCTAAAGAGGTCTGCTCAATAGCTACGCTAAAATGTGGGTAAACAGTACTTATTTTTAAGAAGATCTTTTCATATGAATGTAACAGAGTTGTCAATGATTCAAATGATGTCGAGTTTCCTAACTATGTATTCATTTTGATTGTTTACGAAGTAAGATTTTAAAGAGTAAAAAAAGTCGTTGACTGACATGGATTCTTCTAACAAAAAGGAATAAAAAAAATTATGGATTTTTAAGAAAGCAAGAATCTTAACATGCTGTTATCCTCGAAAAGTAACAAGTGAAAATCATAAATTTATTTTTTTTTGTATGCACGCGCACCTCGTATTCTATGCTGTACGCAATTGTAAAACAAATATTACATGACGCATACAGTTATTACACGGACAGAGTCAGATGATTCATCGAATCAATAGCAAAAAATACACTTGGTAGGTAGTGAGTGTAACGATACCCCTTTTTGAAGATTCTAATTATTACTGTTCGAAATAATAAAGATAGACATTATAGTATATTTCATTTTTGGGGTTTAAGTCGCATTTCTGATTCCGAGATCATCGTTGTTGGCTGGCTACAAGGATGCAATAATAGTTTATTTACATTAATAGAAATCTTTCATTGAGAGCTTCTCTTGGGTTCTCCTCCGCTGTGAGAAAACATAGATGCCGATAAATAGCGCCATCTGTACATACGGGACACTTTTTGTTTTTGAAAGCAAGATATACAGCTGTAAATAAATGTTCTGCAATGGATACCCAGCAGCAGGTGTACATGATTGAAAGCCAAAAATTAACTTAAAAAAAGCCATAACAAATTAACATAATAAAATACAAAAAAATTCGTTGTTTAACCCATTTAGCTTTTAATATCATAAGAGTTTTGTTTGTGCTGGTTTACCATGTAGTCCACATAAACGATAATGTGCATTTAATAAAGGTCCACACATTTAGTTTAACCATAATTTCGGTTCTGTAAAGAAAATTTTGGTAAAAGTAGATCTACATTCAATTGTTCTCGATAAATCATCTGAATAAATCAAATAATCAGTTAAACTAATAAAACGATTAGCACGATAAGGTGTTAATTGTCACTCTAAATATTTAGGATATTTAGAAATTTGTTTTAATATATCAGATTTTCAAATCAATGTGCTTGAAGTTCTATTAATGGTGGAATAGCACCTAATGTAGACCGAACAAATTCGATCCAAAATACTTCTTTACCAAGATATGTATGTATACAATATTTATATAAATTATGAGAAATTTTTCTCTTCAGTTCCAATACGTTTTACATTTGAACCAGCTTCTTCACTTATTAGCAGCATCCAAAGTTTTCTACTTTGGAATACTGAAAACAGGATGTCATATTCATTTTCGGTTCCGACTTTTGTCTCGTTCGTTTCTCTTAGTTGGAGACCATATTCACACGTTTCTAGAGTGAATATTTTTCGAGCACTATTGAATAGAGAATCTTGAATGCTCGTGAACTTTTTCATCAAGGGACTTCCGATTCGTTGTATAGTGTATATATAAATTCTTCGAATTCTAAAGTGTCTCAGATACTTGCAGCAAAGCAGCGTTGATCGAAATGTCAAGTAGAACTTTGAGTTTTTTTTCTTCTGGCATTTTACCACCTTGAAGGATCATAGTGAGAGTATCGCGTCAGAATGTGGGGGACAGTCTTGTGAAAATCACGACTATGATGCACATAAAAGATGCAGCCAGCAAGGGAAACATCCTACACCATTACCGGTATATTTTCTCGTTCAATTTTGAGTTCAGTGTTTCTCAAAAGTTTAGAACTCACCGGATTCTAAAAGATTTTTTATTCTCTTGATTCATATCCCAGTTCTGCAGCTATTTTTAAACAGTTATGAAACCAACCAAATGACCAATGACTGAGTGTGAGTGTGAATTTTGGTAGAAATAAAGAGCAAATGCAGACCTACAAAAACACAAACACACCACTCATGCCCAAAGCGTACATCTGAATTGGTAAAGCATACTAATTCATTTGGTTCTACTTCAATCAGTTTCTATCATCATCAATACTCCAATTAATCGAATTCGTCTAACAAAGTATGTATGCAATATATGTGGTGTAGTGAATAGGATGTATGAAGATCTTTTTATAATCATCTATATATAAATAGACGTATTTAATGATTGAAACTATGTAGTTTTCGTTTTTTCTGCACCAACTACTTTTAAGATGAAATTAAGCGAGCATTATTCGATTCGGATCTCAGTTTCCTTCCATAGCTAATA